TTAGATTCATAATTAGTGGTAAAATTTATCCAACTTTAATTATTAAATGTATAACTTTTTCATGAATTTATAAATATTTTGTGAAGTTTCAACTGATTTGCAATTTTTTTCATTTTTTTATACGCCAGTCGATTAGAGGACAAACAAGTTGAACTTTGTGCAAATTGCAAATCAATGAGAAGATAAAAAAAAAATTACAAAATTATGAAAAAGGTTATCACTTTAATGATTAAAGTAGATAAGTTTTACCGCTGAAACATAATTTATTTTTCTATCATACACTAAAATGCAATTTTCCCTTGAACTTTCAAGTTTTTCCAAAATATCACCCTTCCACCATAATAGAGATGAGTTTATACAACTAAATAAATTATATTTTTTTAATTAATTAATGTGATTTATCATATAAAATGTGTTAGATTCCATTTAAAATTTTATTATTGCATATCATTCAATAAATAAAAAAAGACAATTAAGTTTCTTAGTAATTTACAAAATGGTTAGGTTTTTACAAAATGACAATTAAGTTTCTTAGTAATTTACAAAGAGAACTTGAGAGGCCCATAAGGGCCCATCATGAGTCTATTTATATAATCTCCCCTACAAATCATGTTGCGCATGGGTTTGCTTAGTTGGTGAACTTATAGAGTAGTGAACATCTTTACTTCTTTTCACCTATAAAATTGTATGAACATGGCAAAGCATTATATAAAATTGTATGAACATAACAACATTCTTCTCCTCGCTTTGGCCAGAAGGCCAATGGAAGCATGAGCAAATATGGCTATTTGCCATATTCTTGAAGGGATGATTAGATAGAGCACTAAGTAGATAACCTATGTAATGAGGTGTTATTTATAATTTATTGCCCATTATAAACCCAGCTAAATAAATTTAGAAAATTTAAGAATCATTGTTCTTGCATTTTTGTTAGATAACCTGTCATCATTTTTCAACTCATGATAAAACCTTGCAGTATGATCAGCTTCTCATTTTTTTCTTTTTTCTTTTTTGTTTTGTTTTGTTTTGTTTGTTTGTTTGTTTTTTTTTCCATATGCTTAGACTTGAATAAAATTTTAATTGGCAACCTCATCACTACTCAAGATTTTCTTGGTTTTGTTTAAGAAAATGTAATCTATTAAGGGTTTTAGCTAGGGCTGTCAATGGATCAAATTTAATCTGAATCCGACCCGAATCCGATCCGATAATCCGAATCCGTTTACAAAAAAATCCGATCCGATAATTCGAATCCGTTTAATCCGTTTATTAAACGGATTGAATATGCAAAATCTGACCCGACCCGATAATCTGATAATCCGATTCGACTATTCTCAATTTGAATGAAAAAACATAAAATGAAAAAAAAAATCAAATTATATAAAATTGTAGCTCAGTAAATAAATAAATGGATCGGATCGGATTATCGGATCGAATATTCGAAATCATCGGATTCGGATTTGGATATCTATAATCGGGTATATACTAAACGGATTCGGATTGGATTCGGGTTTGCCTTAATCGGATTCGGATTTTGACAGATCCGATCCGAATCCGATCCATTTACAGGCCTAGTTTTAGCTAGAGATTTGGAAAGATAAAAGAAAAAAAGTGAGTAAAATATGAATGAAATATAATTTAAATTTTTTCTTCTTTTTCATTTTTATTTTGTTTTTCAAATCCATAAGTTCATGATCCAAACACAGTTTAAAAGAATTAAATTGTTGGTGTTTAGTTTCTCGCACAAGATCATAATGAGTAAGACATTATTTGCAATTTATCAATGCCTAAAGCAGTGTATCATAACTTTTCTTAAATTGAGGAAGCAAAACCAATTTATAGAAGAAAAAAATAAATTAAGCAAACCAATTTTTTTAATTTTTTTCTTTTACCAATTTTTTTTTTCCTCCCAAAAATGAAACAATCTTAGAAAGTCAATTCTTAGATCTTTTAAGGTTAATAATTCAATTCTCATAATATTTCTCTAAGGTTAGATATTTTCTTATGCACATTGAAATATTTCTTTATCATATCTATCTTTTGTGAAAAAAAGGTTAGCTTAGTTATATTTTGGAGACGTTTTAGTGGTTGACCACCCGTATAACGATCCCGGGTTTTCACCCCTTGTTGTACAGTGATCCGAACTTGGTTCCGTGGATGTTAGTAGTTGTATAAATCTTGTTTACGTCCTTTCATACTTCGTATTTGAGTTATAGGATGTGTTGGGCAGGTTTGTTACAGGTTGGTTGTGTTTGTGAACAAATGGTTGCTGCCCAGAATTTTGGTCCTTCGCTCGAGCCAGGGTTTTCTTCGCTCGAGCGAGAGTTGAGTTTTTGTGTCTAGTGGGTTGAGCCAGAGTGGCTTCGCTCAAGCGAGCGTTTGCGTCTGGTTCTGGACCTGAGAGCTGTGTTTCTGCGCTCGAGCGAGCGAGGTGTATGTTTTCGAGTTCCTCGCTCGAGCGAGCATTCTGTCGCTGGAGCGTGCTTCTGGGTTGCAGACCTGAAGCTTCGAGTTTTTGGCTCGAGCGAGACTTTATTCGCTCGAGCGAAGGTTTCTTGTGTCTGGTCGCTCGAGCGACCAAGTCTTCGCTCGAGCGAGCCTGTTATATATCAGTAGACAGCAGCGGGTTACACTTAGCATTTTTCATTCTCTTCTTTTTCAAAACCCTTGAGCCCAGACTATCTCTCTCTCTCTACACTTGGCTTCTCTCTAAGGTATCATGTAGCTAGGGTGTGAATCTACCCTAAGTCCTTTGTTAAAAAGATAGAGTGGGTTGAGGGCTCCGTTTTAATCTGAAAAACTTGGGATTTGGAGCACGTTGGATTTCGGGTCTTCATCTCCGTTTGAGCTCAAACTTCGAGGTAGGGATACCCTACTCCTCTTTATGGGCTTTGTCTTTAAATTTTAGCATTTTGATATCTTGGGGTTGGTTTAGTAATTTTGTGAAAGTTTGGGGTTTTTATGTAATTTTACAAAAGTTGGGATTTTGTTTATATAAACCTATATGCATGTGTGGCATAGAAAGAAATGAGATTAACAATGATCTATTGAAAGAAATGGAACCTTAGGGTTGTTATGTTAATTATGGAAATTGTCCTAATTACATGGTTAAAATTAATTGGCATAATTAATTTGGAGAAATGAAGAATTGAATTGAGAAAGTGAAATTGAAGATGTATGGGGTTAAAGGGTGTAGTCGAATTTAATTATCACTCACCTAGTTGGAATGTTGACTATGTATCCATTTGATGCATTTAATTTCTGTTTAGAAATAACTGCTTTGGGCTATCGGTGGAGGATAGTCTTGATTGTTGTAGACAATGCATGATGACTAGGCAAACAAAAAAAAAACTAGTCAATTAAGTATGCTATTGAATATAGCAGTTGGAATAATACATTAACTTTTGTATTAATTGACTATGTATATGATCTATGTATATATACATTGTGTTGTGTGGGAGAAGATAGGGGATGTACTCCGCGGTTTAGGGGAAGATAGGGGATGGACCTCTAAACCGGATTTTTGTGTGACAGTGATACATCACTACAATGTGTATCAGGCTGCGAAATAGAAGTGCTTTGTTTCATTAATACAACACTACAATGTGTATTATTTGAAACGTATGGAAGTGTTTTGTTTCATTAACACAACACTACTATGTGTATTATTTGGGATATGTGGAGGTGATTTTATATGTTATTGGTACAACACCACAATGTGTATCCATCATGATTTTAGAAAGTGTTTTAGAGATGAGCTTAACTCTCATTAAGTTATTCGGCCAGGTTCTGAGCCGTGTTTTCAAACTCAAAGTTGAAAAAGCAATGGAAATGAAGTGTAACATGGACTTAATGTCATGAAACTGAAATGTGATATAAGCGGGTGTATTAGTGATGACCATCTTTTAATTGCTCTTATTTTAGTCAATGTTCATAATTGGTTTAGTGTATTTGTACTGGGCTGTGGCTCACCCTTTATGAGATATCATTTTCAAGTACAGGTAGCATGCCACCTCCAAGGTCATAGCTTGGGAGGCTAGAGGCAGATAGACTTTTGTTGTTTTGTTACATTTTGATGTAATACATGTAAATTCAAGCCAAGGGCTTAATGTGTATTGAGTTAGTACTCTTTTTTTGTAACCAAGTGTTAACTTGGAAAGCTGTAAGCCCGTAGGGCATTTGCTTTTATTGTTAACATGTATTATTTTTGTAATGAACTACTCTGATAAATGGAAAGGATTTATTTTTTATATCAATGCATGTCAATATTGATGGGTTTAATGTTATTATTTTGAGGGCATTACAATCCGGTGGATGAATTATTTTTTATGAAATTATTTGTTGACTTTTTTACTTTAGCGGTTGAATTTATGAAATATATACTTTTTGTTTGCTTTTTTATCTATTTGTCCACTTTAGGTGCAGAAGCATATATTTCCACCCTTTGCTACTACATAGATTTCTACTTATTTGCACCCTTTGCTAGGTTGGGATAATGCGGCATGTCTAAAAATTGTATGATTTATTAATTTGTAAGAAAAATGGTAACATTCATTAATATTTTCTTTTGATGTTGTTTGGAGTCAGATTGTGTTACCAATCCCTGAAAATGTCAATATTTCTTTGATGTTGTTTGAAAACATCCATTTGTAAAGGGTTAAAGAAAGTTCGAGATTGGTTTTTTGGGTCCAATATTATCATCCAAATTCAAAATAATATGTATACTTTTTTTATTAGAGGGATAATTCTTCTACCTTCTCCACTCTTTTTTTTTTCCGTCTCATATGCAAAATCAGCAACCACCTCAAACTGAAATCCTATTGTTGAAGCATATCATATAGTCTAATCCTATTGGTGAGTTGGCTTTAAAATGAAGTGCTAACCACTCTCTTCCCAACTTTGCCGATCTACTCTAGCCTTGCTTGATCTCCCTCCCCTCCTAAAGCTACAACTCCCTCTTCTCTCTCAGGAACAATTTTTGTTCTTTGTAGTATCATTGTTTGTATAATTTTGAATATTTTTTACTTAGTTCATGAAATCTGTTTGTATTTTTTGTAACCATTCCCATTACTGATATAATTTTTTTATCTATTTTTTTTATTTAATTTGTATTACAGGAGAATTTGTAATGTCTCTTGGTTCTTCGGTCGTAGAATGGTGAAGCTATGTCAAAGGTATGCCAATTTTGGTATGGATTTTTTCTAAATCAATTTCTGAAATTTTCACATTCAAAAGCTATTGTAAATAATTGATGATCTACAATGGAATCCCCTCTAGATGATCTTTTGCGTTATTCTGCAGGAAATAATTGAACTAATTCTGATTATGCTTTTATGAGATCATCCAAATAATTGAAGGTATTCATTGACATCTACTTTTCATATTATGCTTAATGAATCATTATTTTTGTTGGTTGTTGATTTTGATGTTTTTGGTTTTTTATTAGTTAATGCGCTTTTAAATTTCTTTAGCACCTTGGTTGGTTTACTTTGGTTTTATTGAATTTCTATCTTTATGGGTTTGGTAAGTTGTTGATGAGGCAGAGAGGGTGTGCGGTAGAGGAGGGAAAAACAAAGAAGGTGGTGGCAATGTGATAGGGGAATAAATTTGAAAAAAACCAAATATTTAGTTTTGGAGAAAATTCTATATAACAAGGAAGGGTAGTATTTGATCCAATGGCTGGGATTGTTTCTCCCTTTCATCCACGGTCCATTTCTGACACTGATTTTGAAAATGTATTTGTCCTATGTGGCAATTTGGATGGTCTAGATTAATTTAATCCAATGGTTTATTTTTTAACACTTCACCCATCTCAGATTCTAGATATCTCTCAACTCCTCCTCAGCTTTGCCCCTTCCTCCTACCCACCACCTCATCACAGTCTAATATTTGTTGTCTAGGTTTTCTAATTTTTGCTTTCACTATTTTTGTGCCTCTTTCATTACATAATGAGCTTTTCTTTTTTTGGTTTTTTCCTTTTCCCATTATGCCAACTAATAGATCTCTAAAAACATTTCTATTTTCAACTCAAGCTGTGATGAGATCCATATGTGCCTTTGTTTTCTAATTTGATTTTGATTTGGTGTATGTTTACAATTCTATTTTGGGTTTGTTTTTAAACATTTGTATTCCTAGCATTGTTGTTTAGATCATATGAGGGCTCCTTTATTTAGATTTGTATTTGTCTACTTGCTTTTCTTTTCTTTTCTTTTCTTTTTTTAATTCTTTGTTTTGGACTTTGTTGTTAACCATTTAGAGTGAACCTTTTTTTGGGTGAATATTTAGAGTGAACTTTGTTGCATTAATATCCTTAATTTGATTTTCTGGAGAAAATTGAATCTTTGAGGACTGTTGAGGTTTAAAAATGGAGTGTGAGGCTAACAGTGAGTTTAAGGAATATCAAATGTTGATAATTTACGGTTCATTTTGGTTGGGGAGTGCCTTTAGGCACAGGTCCTTCGCTAGATTAGTTTAAGGACTATTTCGATATATTCTTCTTTTGATAATTTACGCATCTTTCTTTCTTATTTTTTCTTTTTTGGTGAGATGCTGAATTTTTTATTTAGTCACTAAAGTTTTTTTTTTTTTTTTTTTTTTTTTTTAGTTCACACAATGGTCACGGTCCGTCCAAATCAGTAATGGTAGAAACATAAACTAATGAATAAAAATATAATTTTATAATTTGAACGGCTTAAATCATACCATTAAGCATCCATAATCTTGCCTACGACCTTCATTTCAAAGTAGTAAGTAAGAAAATTATGTTTGGTTTGTGTTTGAGAGATGTGTTTTAGAGATAAAAAGTACGAAAACATGTTTGGTTTGGTTTTTTTTAAAAGATGTTTTGGAAAATTATTTTGAGATAGAGTTTTGGAAAAAGTGATTGATTTGATGTGTGTGAGAGAGAGATTTGTTTGGAAAACTTGTTTGGTTTACAAGTTTTGGGAAATTTTTTTGGGAAAATTTGTTTGGTTTGGTTATTTTTGAAAACTTATTTGTAGAGAAAATTTCCCAAATTTTTTTCAGAAAATCAAACCAAACGAGCCCTTTGTTTGGTTTGATTACTTTTAAAAGCTTATTTGTAGAGAAAATTTTCCAAAAATTTTTCAAAAATACAAACCAAACGAACCCATAGCCTCCAAAGAAACACCAGATTTAGTAGAGCGTCCTACCCTTGTGGAACCCCATAAATGCAACATTTTTCCCCATGTATTTTTGTTTTGTTTTGTTTTGTTTTGTTTTTTTTTTTTTTGTGTGTATGAATAACATATTAAATTTTAAAATATTTTTATATTTTCTACTTTATGGGCAGTCTATAAACTTGTCATTAATATGAACCCTTAAATAATAAAACAAAAAAATAAAAATAAATAAAAAAATTAGAAAAGAGGCTATTAAACATTAAGAATTATATAATCTCAAGGAATTGGCCTCACGGTCAAAACCTGAGGTTTGAAGTGTGTTCCCTTCAATATCTTAGGTTGAAATCTCTGAGAGGCTAATCCATAAAGGATTTTGTCCTAATTTTAATAGAGCCCCTCTCTAGTAGAGGGTAAGATTGGTCACTCGAATTAGTCTCACCCAAATTAATTGGTTTAATGAGTCAGATACCGAGTTACAAAAAAAACAAAAAATAGCAATCATTGGTTATGCTTGTATGAGAAATGCGTGTTAGACAATATATCATCAAAATTATAATTATTGCTTGTTTTTTAAAACAACAAATATGATAAAATCTCATGAATATAATTATTAGGTCAATTTGATTTTTTATTTATAATTTTATGTACGGGTGAAAAATATTTGTTGTCTTTCGTACTCTTTGCTACCAAGCCTAACTTGCTCCGATTGAACTTCGTTTCACTACGAACAAACAAAGATGAGCTATCCGGCAGGTGGGCTGCCGAAAAATCCCTCCGACAACCAAGTTAGCTTTCCTGGGAGAGAAGAGAAAATGTAGAGCACTGTAGAGAGAGAGTGGCTAAAGGTTGCTTACCCTCTAAGTTTGCTCACACCTCCTTTTCTAGGCTGGCCATGTAGTCCCAAATTGTGTGCCTACTGCCTCTGCTGTCCTTTGCTAGTCGTGTGGCTGTACTGCCCTCTCTGTTCCTTACACGTGCATATTTAAATACAGCCAAATAATGTTGGCTAAACTACCAAACAGTATTGACGCACATCCAGAGCAGTTTCCTCTGCATTGGTCCACATGGAATACATTGCTATTACTTGGGTTGCACCAAAGATATTGCCTCTGAACACTCCAATGCTAAGCTAATCTAGGCCGGTCTTCGAGTCATAGTCGCGCTAGGTCAATACTTTGGCGGCCTTCCCTCAGGCCAGTCAACCATGGACGAGTAGTCAATCATTTCGACTACATAGCGCGGCACTACGCCACGCCTAGTCTGGCCGATCTTGTGACGTTGCCATGACCTCCACAACTGTGGTGCTAAAATATGGCCCAGTCCAAGATCGGGGCCCATGCTAAGGTAGCCTAGCCAAGATAGCGGATTCCTAATGTACAAAAATGTTGAAAGGTGTGACAGCATTTTGCTTTTATTTGGTTGTACTAGGGATGTGACAGTGGGTCTCACTCAATGTCACATGTGTTTTGTGCCTTAATTATTTATTTATTTATTTATTTTGGGCTTTTCTCCTTATTA